CCTGCCCGTGGGGCTGTCACAGGTCCGGGCTGAGTGTGAGTCCTGGTCCTGGGGGGGGGGGGGGGCTCTTCCAAGGTGGGGCATGGTCTCTGAGACCCCTGCCTGGCTCGCAGATGAGGGTCATGTTTAGGAAGGACTGACAGCTTGTCTAGAGGCATGGTCTGAGGCTTCAGAATCTCCCGAGGCTCAGGAGCCCCTGTGGGGTGGTAACCATGGAGACCCGACAGGTCCTCAGACCACCTCCACCTCATCTCCTGGGGGCCTCGAACCCAGAAATACAAGGGTCAGAGGGCTGCAATGGAGCCAGAACTGGGCTCCTGCCCTGAAATGACAAGGTCTGCATGGAGCCCCACCACCCCAAATCCGGTGGGTGACCTTGGCCAGGCCTCCACCTGGCCCGGACCTGCTTACCCACCTGGCTGTGTGTGTGTGTGTGTGTGTGTGTGTGTGTGTGTGTGTGTGTGTGTTGCTGGTCTCTCTGTCCTTCCTGTTCTGAGGGACCCCGAAGGTCTGCCCTGTCTTAGGAGAGAACAAGGGGTCCCGACACAGGCCGCCCAAATTACTCTCCCAGGAACCCTAAGAACAGCGGCCCCACTAGGCACACACTCCCCTCTGCCTCCTGGGGCTCTGGGGAGTCATTGCCGCTCCAGCCTGGTGGGCCTGGGTCCCTGATGGGCCACCCACATGGTAGCCACACCTCAGGCCACACTGACCTCCAGCTCACCTCTGGGGGCGCCAGGCCCCTCCCATCAGCAGGCTCCCTGGCAGAGCCCAGCCCGCTTAGGCCAGCTCTGACCTCCGGTTCCCTCCTGTTCCCCGGCCCCCTCCCCAGTCCCAGCGCCCACTCCTGTCCCTGGCTTCCTGCCACTCAGGCTGGAGGGGGCCGCGGGGGGAGGTGACAGCTGTGTAAGCGATGGTGGCTGCCCCTTCCTGCCCCTCCCCCCCAGCTGTCTCTCTCTCATGACAGCTGCCCAATCAAAGGGCTGGGGGCTTAGCCAGCTCCCCCCACAGGCAGGGATCAAGTGTCCACCCTGGCTTTGTTCTGGAGCAAGAACAATCCGGGGGAGGCGAGGGCTCCTGGGGCCAGGCGACTCCGCAGACCGGCCCACCCCTTGGGGGATTCCCTGGGCTCTGCTGGCCAGAGCATCTGGACCAGCTAGGGCTTGTAGGCCCACCTGGGCGGGGGAGAGAGGGGTCCAGTCTCCAAGTTCATCCCCCAACCTCCCCACAGCACCTCCAGCGCCTAACCTAGCAACCTCCTCCACCTACTCCCACAGCAGCCATGGCGGCCACGCCCAGTGGTGCTGGGGAATGCGTGGGGATCAGGCGGAGCAGGGCGCGGCCAGGGGCTGGACACTGGACCTGGGGCACGGAGGGATTCTGACTCCCCTGCCCTTGGCCTTCTCCGCTCACCATTCCTGATTAGCCAGGCCTCCACAGGACCGCCCCAGCATCCTCACACCCCTCGCACGGCCTCTCGTCATCCCAGGATGGCCACTCATACCCACTTCTCAGGAGAGCGGGGAGGAGGGGCCTGCAGGGGAGCGGCCTGGGGCTACCAGGACTGTCTAGGACGCTCAGTGCCAGGCAGAGAAGGGAGGCTCAGACAACCTGGCTGGGCCAGGAATGCGACAGCCTCCTCAGAGCATCCGGAGGCACCCCCTGTCCCCTTCCCCAAGAGTCCACACGGCCAAGGGAAAACGAGGCAGGCCCAGGTCGGGACTGGGCTCCAGCAGAGAGGGCAGTTTCGTGATACAGCCCCACCCACTGGTACCCATCCCCTCACTGTCTCACCCAAATTGAGGAAGATCTCTAGCTTCCGTTCTCCATCCTGGGGCCTGGGTCATTCTGATGCTCAATAGCCATCTTTGGCTCCCCAGTGCCCGAGGCTGATCTCCATAGACAGGCACTCAAGGGCCTTCTCAATGGGGCCCCTGCCAACTTCTCTCGCATCCCATCCCCCACGCACCCGGCTGCAAAACACACCCAGCACCTCCCGGACTCTGGGCCTCTGCCCAGGTTGATCCCGGCTTGAAATGCCCGTCCTCCCGGCTGTCAAAAGCCACCTTGCCTGTGACGCTCTCCCCATCCAAGTCAGATAGAATCACTCAGGGCTCTGGGCCCCCAAAGGTATGCTTGCAACTCAAGGGAGCCTCCGTTGGGCATTCCCGAACCTGTCTTTCCACAACACGGAGGCTCGCGGAGAGCAGGAGCCAGGACCGGGCTGAGTGTGCAGGGGAAAGATGGCTCACAGGGCCTGGGCATCAGGGACCAGAGATGGGGGCTCGAGATCCCAGGGGAGCAGTGAGGATGGGGGAGAAAAGACACGGGGACGAGTCACCTGAGAGCCAGGCCTCATTCCTCAGCAGCCCAGGCCCTGTCCCTGCTGTTTCTCGGGGCCTGGGGGCCCCCGGACATGTCACTGGTTAGGGGACTTGCCCTGGGCTTTGAGGCTTCTCGGGGCCCAAAGTGGGTTTCCCCAGGGGCAGAGGGGCTGGAAGAACAGCTGGGTGTGGTAGGCTTCACCACGCCAGGCTGGGCCCGTCACAGCTGGAAGGGCCTCACCAGAGGGGAACCTGAGGCCCAGAGGGGAAGGGGCTGGTTTGTGAGGCTGCATGAGAGGCAACTGGCAGAGCTGGGAGGAGGTCAGGGTCCCCGTGTAGCGCAGATCTCTTTCCCCAAGAAGTCTGGGCCCCGTGCAATGGTGATGGAGGCTGGAGGGGGGCAGTGATGGGAGTAGGAAGGGTGGACAGAGCTTGTCTGGGGACACAGGGTGGGGCACAGCAAGCCTCCCTGTGGCCTGGGCCTGCCAGGGTGTGTGGGCCGCCTGCTCCCAGCCCCCCGCCCTGAGCATGTGAGGAGAACAATCCCCTTGTGTTTGGGCAGCCTGGGCCTGCATGCTGATGAAGGCTGGGGGTGGGGGCTGGGATGGGGGTGCCTTGGAGGTTGAGAGGGTCCCAGGACCTTCAGATGGGAAAAGCATCGGGTCCCAGGTGCTGGCTCTGAGACAAAGAGGGTCACCCCAAGAAACAGCGAGGGCTGGAGTTGAGGCTTCCGCTCCTAGGGAGTCCTGGGCTCTTTGTGGGGAACGAGGCCCCTGGGGACACAGGCCCTGTTGGTCCAGCATGAAGGTGAGCGTCCCGGGCCGGTGGGGACCCGCAGCCCACATTCTGGGAGCAGGGAAGGCAACCGGCCCCGGGCGCATCCCTCCAGTCCCACTCCCCAGGGGGCAGGGCCGGGTGGGGCACTGGGTGCCACAGGTCTCAAGATGGCGGGCCTGGGACAGGAGGCGAGGAGGCGGTCACCTCCCTCCTGACCAGGCGGGCACCAGGGCCAGGCTGGCATGAGCGGCCAAAGCCCCCCACCCCCAAGGACTCCAGCCAAGAAGTCAGGTCCGAGCTGTGGGGCTGAAGAGCCATAGAGCACCAGGGACCCCTGGGAGCCCCCACTGTCACCTCCACACCCTCCGAGCCTGGAGGCCTGCGTGGGGCCCCATGGAAGACTGCGGAATAGGAAGGGGTGTGTGCTGGGCCGGGAACCGCAGGGAACGGCAGGTGGGGACAAGGATGGGCAGAACCCGAACCCAGGGCAGGTCCGAAGGACGGAAACAGCAGGTGGGATGAGGCCTCCAATCTGGGGTCTCGGGTCCAGCAAGCTCCTCCCTCGTGCTGGGGGCCCCTCCAGCAGACCAGCGTCCCCCATCTGTGCAGGCCTGGGCCCGCGTGCGGCAGGGAACGTGTTCCTTTCAGCCTCCCAGGCCCCCAAACCCAGGACCCCGGTTGGTGGGTTCGGGAGCCGGCTCCCAACCCCGGCCGAACCCCCACACTCGGCGGCCCGCGGTGCCCCGCCCGGCCCGCGCCCTACCTCGCTGGGGCTGTCCTGCGGCGGCGGCGCGGCGGCTGGGCCGCTCAGTCCCACATTGTCCCCGGAGAGGCGGCCGCGCACAACTGCGAGTGACATCAGCTGCGAACAATGAGGGGTTTGACAGGCGCGGAGCCCGGCCGGCCCGGAGCCCGGCTCCGCGCCCCCCACCCCCACCCCCCGGCCCGCCCGGCGGCCCCTCCCGCCCCCGGCCCGGATCCGATTACAGCGCGGGCCCGCCCCCGTCGCCCCAGTGCCGCAGCCGCCGCCCCGCCCCGCGCCCTGGTGCGCCCGGCGCGGCGCCGCTTCCGGGGGAGCGGGCGACCCTCCCCGCGTGGAGCCCCCGGCCCGGGAAGGGGAGGCGCGGGCAGATCGGGCCTGAAGCGCGGCTCCAGCCTCGGTCCCCCCCGCGCCCCGAGTCCCCTCCTCCGGCCGCCCGCCCGCCCGCCCGGCGCCACTGCCGGCCCCCTGCACCCCGCCGCCGGCCCCGCTTCGGCTCGGTCCCCGGGAGCGTGGCTGCCTCCCGCCGCGGGCCGCGTCCCTGCTCTCCCGCTCGGCGCCATCCATCCCTGCGCGGGGCTCTCGACCCCTCCCCCCCCCCCCCCCCGCCCCAGACCCGCACCCCCTGCCGCCCTCTGCTCCGGCGAGGCCCGGCCCCCGCCCGCCCCGGACAGGTTACCGAGCAGCCGGAGGAGGGGCCTGAGAACGCAGTGACCCCGGCACCCCGCCTGCGATCCCCCCAAAGCCACCCCCAGAGTTCCCTTGGGGGCTGGGGTCGCCAGGGAGGCCGGCGAAGTTGAGACTCTGGTGGCGAATGGGCTGGAGTCGGCGGAGGCAGGGCTGTTCCCAGGCCCTCCTGCCCCCCCCCTCCCGCCCCCACGAGCAAATCTACCTCCCTGTCCCCCGTAATCGGCTCAGCCCGGTCCCACTGACCTCCACCTCCCCCCACAGCTGAGTCTCTTGGCACCTGGGTGTGTGGGGGTGGGGAGGGGAATCCAATCTCCCTTCCCCTCCATCTGGCCGGGTGGACAAAGGGCAGGGGACCATCTGGTCCCGCCGGTGGGGGAGGGGCCCGTGGTGGCGGCGGTCCCAAGGGGCGGGGGAGGGGCGACGCTCTGGAGGCAGCGAGAGCCTGAGGGTCTAATTGCTTCACTTTATTTCACGGACCTCCACTCTGCGCCCCGCCCCCCGGCCTGGGAGCAGGAAAGGGCTTGGTTGGGCTCAGAAGACCCAGGCCTAACAACCCGGGAGGGAGGGTGTGGCGCCTCGGGGAGGGGGGAGAGGGAGATCTGAGGGTCAGAGGGTGATCCTCTCCTTTGGGGGGCAGTTATGATCGGGAGCGGAGTTCACGGCAGGCCACACCCTAAGCCTGGCCGAGGATATCCTGCAAGGACTGGGCTCTGGGTCCCCACCTTCCCAGACATAGGGGTGCTGTATGGATGGGAGGGCGCTGCCTATGTGGACGCTTCTGTAGGCGGACAAGCATGCATGTGTGCACCTGGGTGTGCAGCCCAGCAGGAGCCTGTACCTGTGTGGTTGGGTCATATTTGGGGACATGTGTGAGCATGCATGCGGGCATGTGTGTACCGTGGCCTAAGAGGTGGGAGAGGGCTGTGAGGGCCCTTTGGGGCAGCCTGGGCAGATGTGGGAGGCAGGAGGGGTGGGCTGGGCAGAGCAGAGGAGGGAGCGAGAGCGAGCAGGAGAGCCCACGGCAGAAGCTCATCTAATGGGTTACCCTCCACCAGATCACGTCCATTGATTCCTGATTTTTTTGTCTTGATTTCACCTCCTCAGTGTGTCACTGCAAGAGAAAGAGGAAAAGACAGACAGACAGATCCGAAAGACCAGCACCCAGGCAGACACACAGACACACACACCTGCTGATGTGCAGGGAGGGAGAGAGAGCCCCAGAAAGGCAAGCAGCCCCCCCCGGACAGCAGAGCTAGGCCTCATGCCAGTCCCTGCAGGAAACCCAGCAGCCCCGCGTGCCACTCCTCAGGTTTGTCAAGGTAACACGGGTGCCCCGCCCCCTCCATGACCAACACCCGGTGGTTGGGCAGCTGCTTCAGGTGCTCAAAGCTGGTCTGGCCCATGGGGTCCTGGTCGCCATAGACAATCAGTGCTGAGGTCTAAAGAGAGGAAAGAGGCAACATCAGCGGGGACCTGCCACGCCGGCCCCGGCCTCCCCGTCTCTTCAGTCTCTCCCTGGGTCACCCCACATGAGGGGAGAGACACACTGGCCCAGTGGGATGGGGGGAGCCAGCTCCCAAGGGACGGGGTGTGGGTTTGTGTCTGTCCCAGCACACAGTTTGGCACAAGGCCTGGCACAGGAATCTAAGTCAAGCAAAAGGATACAGTTTGGTGGTTCAACTCCTCCCAGAAGCTACCCCTCGGCTACCCCACTCCCAGAGGGATTTCCCTTGCTCCTGGCAGGGGCATCGTCGCCTCCCACAGGGGTACCTTCACTCTGGCATAGTCGGCAGCACTGATTTTATCCGTGCAGATGGGGGCCACTGGCACATAGCCCCGGAGCTGGGAGCCACGGGCCGTGAGGAAGGGCAGTGAGTACATGCCACTCAGAGACGGGCTGATCACAACCGGGGGACCCAGGTCCAAGGCATCCACCACAGCGGCCAGGAAGCTGCTGGGGACCAGCTCCCCGACAGGGGCAGGGGCTGTTGCGTCCTTGGAATGCCCAAGGCCTGCATTTCAGTGTGGAGGAAACAAGACAAGCCGGTGAGTGGGGAGGGTCTCTTCCTCCAGGAAGCCCTCCTAGGACAGTCTCTCTGTGCAGCATGCCCGACTTTATTTCTGCTGCAGCCGGGACTGTCCTATCTGTGGCCGGCATGAGGCCCCTCCCTTGTCAGTACAGCGCCTGGAAAGAATAGGCCCTAAAGTCCAACACAGCCAGACCCGAATCCCAATTTTCCATTTACTATCAATGTGATCTTGGGAAGGCCCCCCGGCCCTCTCCACTGCCCAGTTTCCCCAGCTGTTAAAGGGGGGAAAGGGACCTGCAGTTAGGATGGTTGTGAGATGGCGCTAACTGCTCAAGGGGCTCCCGTCCCAGGGACGGAGGGTGAGTGCCGAGTACAGGGCTGAGGGGCTGGCTCTGCACGTACCTCCCTTGCAGTGGGTGAGTCCCGCCATCCCCCCAGAAAGATGAGCTCAAGACCTGAGCCTGGAAGCTCAGTCCAACCCACTGTCAACCAATCCCGTCTGGGCCCGGAGGCCCGCCCTGGGCACTGAGGCCATACCAGCCAAGGCCAGTGAGGGGAGCAGGTCAGCCACCCGTGCAGTCCCTTCCACCCCCAGGCACCAGGGGTTAGGACCTCCCCCCGAGCCCAGCTGAGGGCTTTCTCCTGGGATCATGACCAGCGAGCGGCTTAGCCACCCACCAGGACACTCAGCCACACTCTCGGGGCTTCCAGCGGGGCCTAGGGCTGTGGCTCTGTCAACACATGTTTCTTCCAACGGGCTGAGCCCCAATTATTGTGTCAGGTCCTGGCCACAGAGTCACGCGGACATCATTCCATGCTCACTAGAGCCAACCCCCACAGGAGCGTGGTTATCTCGCATTACAGACGAGGACACAGAGGCTCTGAGACACTGCCCCCGGCAACACCCAGAGCAGCTGGGCAGTGTCCAGGCACATCCGGGTCAAGACGAGGGGAGCTCGAGTTCTTGCAGTGCGCTCTGGGCCCTGGCCCAAGTCCCCCCAGGCCCCCAGACCCGGGTCCCCAAGGAGGTCCCCACCACCCCTCCAGAACAGAAGCCTGCCCAGAAGTACCTGGCAGGTCGATGGCCACCGCCCGGTAGCCCGCCTGTGCCAGCCTGAGCAGCGTGCCCAGGTTCTGCCAGGTCTCGGAGGAGAAGCGGATCCCGTGCAGCAGCAGCACCGAGAACCGGGGGGCCTGCCCTCCGCCCGGCCGCACCTCCCGGAAGAAGAGGCTCTGGCCCTGCACCTGGATGGTGCCCTCCCTCTGCTCCACGTCCGCCATGCTGCCGCCTGCAACGCCTGCGGTTCAAGACCAGGCTGATGAGCCACAGGGCAGCCTGCCCCTTGGAGCGGAAAAGCCGCCACAGAGAGGGCAGGGTCCAGGGGAGCAGCAAGCCCCCCACCCCCTCAGGCTCCCAGAACTCTAGGAACAAGCTTTGGGGCGAGGAAAACGAAGGTGTTATTTCTCTCTGCCGTTCACTTAATTGTGTGGTCTTGGGCCTCAGTTTCCTCATCTGAAAAATGGGACATGAAAGCCTACATCAAGAATTAACAAGGAGAAAAAGAACCGGCAAGAGGGTGTCTGCCCTTGGAAAGACCCCAGTACAGGGGCTTCCATTATGATTCTCGTTCCCACTGGCATCCTTTTCTGCAAGTGGGACTAACCCAGGGGCACTCAGCTCCTAGGTGGCCGATGGGGTCAAAGGAGGCCGCGCTTGTGAAACCCTGCGGGCCGGCCCAGCGCTGACTGCGGAGCGTGGGAGTTGCTCAGTCACAGTAAGTAGCCGACTATTTTGCTCATCGACCTCTTCCTCTTCGAGGCACTGTGAAGGGTCGGAGTTTGGCACCGCAGGCAGGAGAGGGTCGGGGCTGGAGAAAAACACCCATTTCCTGGACGCGGAAAGCGCAGCGCTCAGAAGAAAAAGCATTTGGAATTCCCGCCCGCAAGGGGCGTGGGGAGCCGGCGCGCTGACGCCGTGGTCAGGGGGCGATCGCGGCGCCGCCGAGGCTCGCTCTGCGCCCTCCCAGGACCCGTGCTGGCTCGGCGGGCCCGGCGGGCGGGCGCACGAGGAAGGGGTGGGGCAGGCCCGAGGAAGGGGACCTGGGAGCCGAGTGGGAAGGGGAGAAACTGGGATAGTCTAATTGGAGAGAGGGAGAGAGGGTTGGGGCGCAAGGCAGGTACCTGGGGAGCTGCGTGGGCTCGCACAGCGGGAGGAAGCCGAGGACTGGAGGCAAATGGGGCCCGAGGCAGCGAAACGGGGCGGGGCTGGGAACAGGGAGGTGGCCTGGCCGTGCTGCGGGGCGCCCTCTGGTGGCCACAATCGGCGGCAGGGCCCACGTGCCCCAAGCATGGGACTGGGTGCCTTCCCGAGACCCCGCGACCCGCCCCACAAGCACAGGGGCGGCTTGAGCTCCCTTTGGAGTCAACTCCGGGTGTTCCCTCCTCCCCAGCCCCAGCCCCAGGCCCAGCCCCAGCCCCAGCCTGAACTGCCCAGGTGCAGAGTTGCTCGCCAGGCATGCAGTTGAGGCCCCACTGTTTGTTTTTGTGTTATTTACCCTCACCCGAGGGTATTGTCCCATTGGTTCTCGGGGAGAGTGGAAGAGAGGGAAAGACAGAGAAATATAGATGTGTGTGCTTGCCTCCTGCACATGCCCTGACCAGGAGCCCGCAACCAAGGTACATGCCCTTGACCAAAATCAAACCCGAAAGGGTCCCGCAGGCTGGCGCGCTACCCACTGAGCAAACTGGCTAGGGCGCGACAGGTTTGAGTGCGAGATTCTGCCAGTGCCCAGCCAGGCAGCCTTGATCATTTCCCCAACGCCTCGGAGCCTCCTTCCTGGCCTGTAGAATGGCTGCGAGGTCACCTACCCCGCAGGGTGCATAGTCCTGCAGCCTCTCTGTGCCAGGCTTGGGGGCAGAGCGGACATCCATCACTTGTCGCCAAACAGGAACCGTAACATAAGAGAGCGAAGGGCCCAGAGGCCGCCCTGGCTGGGCCCGGTGTGTGCGGACCTGCATCTGTAAGGTCAGGGGAGTGGATGGGCCGAGCCCCCGTGCTGCTGCTCAACAATCTGGCACTTACACTGCGAGGCCTCCCTGCCAGACCCTGCCCTAAGGCTTGGCACGTCCTTCCGTCCTAAGACAACCCTTAGTGGTTCTCCACCTGCTGGCCCTTTAAATACAGTCCCTCATGTTGTGACTCAACCATAACATTATTTTCGTTGCTACTTCATAACTGTAATGTTGCTGCTGTTATGAATCGTCATGTAAATATCTGAGATGCAGGATGGTCTTAGGCGACCCCTGTGAGAGGGTCGTTTGACCGCCAAAGGGGTCGCGACCCACAGGTTGAGAACCGTCCTTAGACGGACCCCGCTTTACCGAGGGGAGGCTGGACGGGGGTGGCGACCCCGGTGGGAGGAGGCCACGTGGCTCTACCCCGGCTCTCAGGCCTAAGACAATCCGGACAGTCTGGCGAGGAGCCGGGCTGCGGACTTCGGGACGCCGCCCCCTGTCCCCCCTCCATCGGGGCTACCAGGCGCAAGGCCTGCGACTGCGGACTGCGCACGCGCGCCCCGGCCGGTGCGGGCCGAGCCTGCGGAGCCGCGGACGCAGCGCCATGGTCGCCGGCCGGTTTGGCTGCTGGTTCCGCGTGGGCGGGGCCGGCTCAGCGGCGGCCGGCCGGGTCCTCTCGATCAGCCCGGTGAGTGTCCCCCGGGACGGAGGCCGGCAGGGTGCCCGGGGCGGGCCGCTTGCTCCTCCTCTGCCCGGCGCCCTGGGCACAGTCCAGCGGGAGGGAGGGGCCGGCGCGGGGGCCGCGAGTGCGCGCGCGTTCGTGTGCGTGTGCTCCTGAGGGTCTGGTGTAGTGTGTCGTGGGGTGTATGTCAGTGGCTCTGTCTGCCCGTGTTGGAAGGTGCCAGTCTGTCTGCCCGCTTGTTGTCTGGGTGTGTACAGTGTATATTTCGGCGTATGATTTTGAGGGTGTGTACTAGCTGTGTGTCTATGTGTGTATTTCTGTGTGTCCGTCTGTCTGGCTGTGCATGTGTAGTTTTAGGGCTCGGTGTATGACGGTGTTCTTGACATTTGAGGAACTGCGTGTGGTTTTGAAACCGTGTGTGTCTGTCCGTCCGTCTGCCTTCCTGGTGCCTGATGCTGGGCATGGTTTGAGGGTGTCTTTCATGTGGACACGCATCTACACCTGTGTCATTGTCTGTGCGTATGCCAAGGCCTCCGTGGGCACGTCTCCACCCTTAGCCCAGGCCCTGTATCTGCAGTCGCTAGATCAGGTTGCCTGCTACCTGCCAGGTAAGGTTGCCTAGTGCGCCAGCCTCCGGGTTGCCAAGGCAACGGCAGAATTTTCCTACCTGGAGCGGCCCCTGTGGCCCAGTCTCCACCGCAAGGAGTGGCCGCATGGAAGCCCTGTCTGTGGGAACCTAAGCCAACCAGGGCCTCCGCTCAGCCCCTGGGTCTCAGCCCCTGGGTCGCCCCCTGACCTGGGGGCCTGGGAGTGGGGCTGAGGCAACATCCCAGGAGAGGCGGGTGGGGCTGGAGACTCTCAATAAAGATGTGTTTACTGGGATCTGGGAACAAGCAGGGGGCTCCTCCTAGGCCCAAGAGGCCAGCCCCAGTCGAGTCCTCTGTGTCGGTGAAATCTCACAGGAGGCGGCTTGGGGGCAGCCGGGACTACCCTCCCTCTTTTACTGACACACTGGAGACTCGGCTGACTGCTCTCTGGGTCCTCCTGGCCCTGAGGTCTGTCCTCTGGGCTGGCAAAGGACCTGGCCGGAGGAGTCCATGAAGCAAGTCGCTTGGCATGAAGCTGGGGGAGGGGGTGGCATTCATCGCTCCAGCCTCCATGCTGCCCTTTCCATTTCGGTGCCATTCTCCTGCCTGCCCGCCACCCCCCCCCCCGCTTTGCCCCCCCCCCCCAATACCTCAGCTTCTCCTCCTCCCTGGATTCTCCCTGCTCCCTCTTCCCATTTAAACCATCTGGGCTGGGTTACTAGTATATTCCCACCCATTGTCAAGCACATTCTGAGTTTAGCATTAGTCTACACATGCCCTGAGCCGGACCTCTCTACACAGCCTTTCCCCTTTGGGGCCTCACCACTGTGCCACCCGCAAGGCTGAGCTTTTCCTCAGCTGGGCGCTTCCGGGTGGGGTTTCGGGATGGGGTCCCGGGGGCCAAGTGGGGCCTCAGCCTCCTCTCCTCTCCTCCTCCTCCAGACTGTGGTACAAACTTCCATGAGCCGGTCCCACACAGCCCTGCTGGGCCTGGGCCTGCTGCTCATGCTGCTACTGTACGTGGGGCTGCCAGGCCCCCCTGAGCACACTTCCTGGCTCTGGGGAGACCCCAATGTCACAATCCTGGCCGGTCTCACCCCTGGCAACTCCCCCATCTTTTACCGCGAGGTGCTCCCACTCCACCGGGCACAAAGGTGGGTGCTGACCCCAGGGTCTAGTAGAAGGATGAGCCCCTGTGTGGGACCCCAGCTCCACGCGGGGTGCTGAGGGCTGGGAGGGCAGTGGGAGAAGCCTAGGAAGAAAGTGGGGCCCTGCCAAAGCCTCAGACCACCCCCCATGTGCCCGCAGGGTGGAGGTGGTGCTGCTCCACGGGAAAGCCTTCACCTCGCGCACGTGGGAGCAGCTGGGCACGCTGCAGCTGCTGGCGCACAGGGGCTACCGGGCCGTGGCCCTTGACCTCCCAGGTGAGAGCCCTGCCCTGATCTGGGGAGGCAGCCGGCAGCAGGTCCAAGGGGTGGCTTCCCAGAGGGGGACGTGGGGGGGTAGGAAAGCCCTGAGATGTGGCCGGTTGCATCTGGACCCCTGTATGTGGACGAGCAGTGACAGGTCACAATACAAGATGGCACAGGAAAAGGTCTGTATTTCCAACCGTAAACTTGTGCGGGTTGGTGCACATCACCAAGCAAGTGGAGTGTGCCTCACTTCAGGGGAGACCTCACCATATTTTTTATGACAAGCTAGAGAGCTTGTTGGTGTTTTGTTGTTGTTGTTGTTGTTTTTTAGCTGTCAAAGGCTTTATGCTATCACTCTTGACATTAAAAAATCAAACAAGCCCTGGCTGGTTTGGCTGAGTGGCTAGAGTGTCGGCCTATCCAGCCGACCGAAGGGTCCCGGGTTCAGTTCCAGTCAAGGGCACATACCTTGGTTGCAGGCTCCTCCCAGGCCCGAGGCCTGGCCCCAGCGTATGCAGGAGACAACCAATCGATGTTTCTCTCACATCGGTATTTTCTCTGCCTGTCCCTCTCTCTTCCACTCTTTCTAAAAATCAATGGAAAAATATCCTTGGGTGAGGATTAAAAAAAAAATCAAATAAGCGTGACACCCTCAGAGCCCCGGGCCCTCTCACTTCAGCAGTCTGGGGGAGCAAGGCCCCTCCGGACATGTCCGGACACAAAGAAGAGTGTGCAGGCCTGTGTGATGGGGGTTGTGAACGTGACAGGTGTCCTCCGGCTTCGTGAACCCACCGGCAGCCTGGTCCTCTCCCCCCACCACGTCTCTGGGATCCTACCAGTCACTGTGACCTCCTCTCAGTCGGCGGCGCCATGGGGGGATGCGCAGGTTGCGTCTGGCCACTCCTCCTGGGGGGCTGTGATGGATTGGGAGCTGAAATGCTTGGGTACCCACGCACCTTTGGACCTGCTGCCTGGAGCACAGGGCAATCATTTCTGTAGGAAGCTACCAAGGACGTTGATGGGGTAAAGGACACACATCTTTTAAATGTTGGCAATCATTTCCCGACCCTCGGAAACTGCTAGATGGATTTCCTCCCAGCAGTCAGGATGAGAGTGCCCATCTCCCCGCACCTTCCCCAAACTGCGCATCACCAGTCTTCTTCACTTTCGCCAATATGACGGATGAAAGGCTTTGCCAGCAGGCCTACCACATCACAAAAAAATAGCTTCTAGGACAGGTGGGCCACCGCTCCGGCCCCTCCCCCGCCGGGGGGGGGGCGCGGAAGTCCCGGCTCCCTCCTGCCTCCCTCAGCTGGTGCCTCTGCCGCCCAGGTTTTGGGAACTCAGCTCCTTCCCAGGAGGCGAGCACCGAGGCGGGGCGGGCGGAGCTGCTGGCGCGCGCGCTGCGGGGCCTGGAGGTGCGGAACGCGGTGCTGGTGAGCCCCTCGCTGAGCGGCCGCTACGCCCTGCCCTTCCTGATGCGGGACCACCCTCAGCTGCACGGCTTCGTGCCCATCGCGCCCGCCTCCACCCAGAACTACACCCGGGAGCAATTCGGGGCCGTGAAGGTACTGGGAAGAGGGTCCCCCGGTCCTGGCTCCCCGTCGAGGGGGCAAAGGGCTCAGGTCTCATTTGGAGGGCTCACGACCCCCCCCCCCCCTCTGGTTGGAGAAGATGGTGTTTGGGGAGGAT